TATTGTATCTGATGTCTCTATGATTCCATTTGATTTGGCATCACATACTTGTGTTTTTCTGGTTTTGTTCCACAGGTTGGTTATTGTCTTGATTGCACTCGTGTAAGATTTTTTGGCCCTTATATTATTTATCCGGGTAGATTCCATCCTTACGATTGCACTTATTTGGTAAGATTTTTGGTTCTTATAATATTTATCTAAGATCGCATACCGGGTAAGTATTTAGTAAACGGTCCCTAGGCTTTCTTTCTCCTTAAATGAAATTGGATTATCTGGATGTATTGTTTGAGCATCAATAAAAGCTTTAGCATATGGTTATTTTTTTGTATAATTCTTTAAATTGTATACATGTTTGAGGCACTCTAAACGCTAGTTCACAAGATTAAATGCCTATTTATTAGGTAGCTCTTTGAGATTTATAAGAGAAGTTCATCATACGATCTCTTTAAGTTGTCATAAAGATTGGCTTTCACAAATATTCTGAATTAGTTACTGATACCATCCTACTAAATTTGTGAACGTTTGACCCTTGGACTCTTGATATGGTTTGAAAGAAACAAGAATATGATATTTGCATACGGTATTTATTGTCCAATTTGTGGGTTTACTTGATCATGCTTCAATTTTAGACGAAAGTGACTGACTTTTTGGTCATTGTACTTGACTTTTCGTAAAACTAACCATTTTTATAAGTCGTTTTACTCATACGGTGTTTTTTGCAAGAAATATTTACAGATGAGTGTGTTACGAAAACTACACAATAGTTTGGATATACGGATGAACATTATTTACAAATGATTGTATTTCTTTGTTCAGTCAAGAAGTTCAAGTTTTGTAATGAGCTCTGAGTATAAATTTCAAGTTTTGTAATGTTTTTATTTTTTAATTAAATATAAATTTGAAGATAGCATAAAAAATAAAAAATTATTAGTATTAAATTAACTATTTAATAGTTCTTGTTTTTTTGTGTGTAACTTCTTCAATTTAATTTTTTATTATAATTTAATTTAGGTCTAATAACAAAGTAATTTATTTTTGGTTTAATAATATAATTTTTATTAAAGATAATAATTAAATATTCGGTTAGAAACTCAATAATTATATTTTAGATTTATAATATTTAAAATAAATGTTTATCCTGTATTTGGTTATGTTTATTTGCAGTTACACAAATTTAAAATGAAGCTTTAATAAGTTGTACTTACGCAAAATCACTTGTAATTTTAAGTAGTATGCATCAATAAGCAGTACTTCATGCATAAAAAATGGTTTTTAAGAGTTTGTCAAATGCTTTATAATATAGTATAGATATACAAGCAAAAACTTTTAAATAGTTAACTTAATACTAATATTAATATATTTTTTGCAAATTTTATATATTAAAAAATAAAAACATTATCGTTTTCTCAAAAACATATAAAATTGTATTATATCGACATGGATAAAAAATAAAACGAAGCATTTAAATGGAAATGTCTCGATGCATCGCACGAGTAACCTTCTGGTAGAGATGGCCAAAAACCGGTCCCGGGTTGGTCCCAATCGGTCCTCACCTTTCTCATAACCGGTCCCGGTCCCGGTCGAAAATGATAGGACCGGTATAGGTACTTTATAACCGGTTATGGGCCGCCGGTCCTGGTCCCGGTCCCGGTCCCAACCGGTCCTTGCATTAAAAAAATAAGATTTTTTATTATTTTTTTAATGATATATATTTTTAATACATTATAAAATTTACAATTAGGTCACTCAAATACACTTTAAAAATGTGTTTTAATATAATTAAAATTACGTTTTCTTATAAAAATACATTATAAAATTATTTAAAAATACATTTATTTATAAAATTATTTGAATTTTTCGGCCAGGCCGGGCCGATCCATAGTCGGTCCCATAACCGGTCCCGGTCCCACGAAACTACCAAAAATCTCAACCGGTCCCGGTTTTCAGTCCCATAATCAGTCCTTACCGGTTCCGGTCCCGGGCCGGTCCTTTGTCGGTCCCGGTCCCGGTCCTCCGGTGATCCCGAGCCGGGCCGGGCCGATTTGGCCATCTCTACCTTCTGGTATATATTAAATAGAAATGGTAGCATGTATGACCATGTTTGAATTGAGGAATTCAATATTGGTCAACATAAAAGTGCATGGGTCGGGAGTAAATTCCGGATCAAAAATATACATTCTAAAATAAACCACCCACCGCCCACGTTATCTTTCTTCCCATCCTTTTTCAATATTATCTCAAAATATAATTAAAGACGTAAAAGTTTTTATAGACGCAATTCCATTGATTCACAACAAAATATTCCTTATTCCACGTTTAAAATCTACTGCCACTCTCGGCTACCTATGTCCTCATTTCACATCATTTTTTAAAATAAAAAATTAAAAGAAACAACTGCGGAGTCATTTAGTTTTAAAAACCAGTTGTTCTAAAGAGGTTGACTTTGAGTCAAGTTGGTTCTTGACTAATCTTTTTCCAAACCCAACGGGTCTAGAACCTGTGACGACCGAGAGCACATACAAGACTCTAAACACAACTCGTTAAAAGAAGTGTTTTTCTTAACTTGATCCTAACCAAAGTCAAATGGGGAACTTGCGAGTTGCCCCACTCAAATACATGGACTCTTCTCGAATCAATCCTTAATTGGTTAAATCTTGAAAATTAGAGCATTTTAAGTTTCGAAGATGACTTCAGCTTGTGCTAAATCATTGAATTATTTGTCCTTGTGAGTTCAATCCTCGAGTTGAGCTTGGTCTGGGCTCATGTACTTACTTTCTTTATATATATATATACAATGTAATTTAACAAATAATAATCTAAACATAATATAATTATGTTTTGTATTCATTAAGAAGATTTTTTTAAAAATTGACAGCAAAGATAGTGTTATGATTACACTCCAATTTTTTATTGGTTGGATGTTTCACTAACTTACTAAAACGGGTTGTTATTAATACACATCACTCATATACAGCTAGTCTTACCCCTCCTATCTTAGGAGTTGTTTGTTTACCTCTTAATAGTTTCATTAAGTGGCAACATCTGATTCGTTAAGAGATGAATCTTTTGTCTCTTAATGGTTATAAAACCCTCTGAATGATTTTGTATCATGGATCTCCATAACTATTAAGAGCCCTAATTTCATTGTACACAATTACCAAACAATTATATTTCATTTTGCACTATATCATGAGAGCCTCTTAATCATTCTGATTACTTAATCATTTTACACCAAACCATTCAGCAATTACCAAACAGCCTCTTACTCACATATACTTCATTTTTACCTCTCCTATCTCACTCACGTACCCCTATGAGATAGGGTATAAATGATTCCACCCTTATTAAATCACTGTTAATAAGAGTACAAGTAACCAAATTAATTTACAAGTTAACCTCTCATATCACTTTATAAATTGGAGCCAAATATTTGGTTTGTACTTTCTTTTCTCAAAGAACCTTGTTTGCCTTATTTTTATCGATATATCATCAGTTGTATTTCTAATTAAGGATGGACTTGGTACGGTACAAGTTTTTTTTTCTAATACCGTGTATCACTCATTTATAATTGGTATACAAAATCTTATATTATGTATCAACCAACTAGAATTGGTAGTTTTGTATCAACTTCAAGTTACATAGATGAAAACTTAAAAACAATATATTAAATGCTTTTTAAAACAAAAAGTGTGTTTTTTTTTAATTTTTAGCTAGCAAACACATTTCATTTCTAATATGAAATTGAATTTGTGACAACACATCTAATATTCCCGTTAAAGGTAACTAAAATAATAATATATAGTTTGTGTCCTCTAAAAGAAAATTATTCCCATTCATATTAAACGCTACCACCGAATTAAATATTTATGTTGAAATATAATAATTTCATAGAATATAATGTAGTATTATTATATGATAAAACTATGATGATAATAAAATGACAACACATTATTTAAATTAAAATAAAATATCCAAAACATCATTTTTATTAAAACAAAAATGTTAAATTCACAAAAAGAAGATATAATGAAATAATATGACATGTCTTCATCGTATCAGTTTTTATGGATCAGGCTATTAATTCTCTTTAAATAAGCTTGTCATATGTCAACATCACATATTACTATAGGACTAAATTTGTATAGAAGCAACATAGTTTGTTATCGATGTTTTGACATTTATAATCCTGATCTCATTCCGTATTTTCCCTAACCAAAAGGGCGTTTTTGTCATTTACTTTGCACCCAAAACCCACCAGGCCACCCCGACCCTTTCATCATATATAAAGTAAATTATGATATTCGTTCTTATAGTTTGTTAAAAACTACGACTTTCGTTCTTGTAGTTTCAACATTTTGGTTTTCTGTCCATGTGTTTTGCAATTTATTGTCGTTTTCGTTTCTAAAATTAATTTCTGCTTTTAAGTATAGACAAAGGAAACAACAATAGATTATAAACTAAAAATAAAAATAACCGTAAATTATAAATAATTAGGACAAAAACAATAATAAATTATAAATCATAATTTTAAAAGTACAGGGTAAAAAAGTAATTCTCAATAAACCACAGGGACCAAAAGCAGAATTTAGTCGTCATATATATAATACTACAACACCTGCAAGCTCAGATTCAAGTCAAATATCAACCGGAAAACAGAGTGTTTTAGAGAGAGAAAACAATCATGAGAACAAGCAACCATCTGATTGGCTTACTCAACTTTCTCACCTTCTTGCTCTCCATCCCCATTCTCGCCGGCGGCATATGGCTGAGCACGCGCGCCAACAACACCGACTGTATGACCTTCCTTCAGTGGCCGTTAATCGTCATCGGCGTCTCCATCATGGTCGTCTCACTCGCCGGAATCGCCGGCGCTTGCTACCGGAACACCTTCCTCATGTACCTTTACCTATGGGCTATGTTCATCATCATTGCTGTTCTAATCGGGTTCATTATTTTCGCCTACGCTGTAACAGATAAAGGATCTGGTCGACCCGTAATGAACCGGGTTTACCCGGATTACTACTTGCAGGACTATTCGGGTTGGCTTAAGGACCGGGTTGCAAGTGATGAGTACTGGGGTAAGATCAGATCTTGCATTCATGATTCGAAGGCCTGTGCAAAGACGGGTCGGGTCATTGGTGGGTATCCCGAAACTGCAGATATGTATTACCTTCGAAAGCTAAATTCCATTCAGGTTGGTTTGTTTTCTCTTATATTTAGTTCCAAAATAAATATAAGATATTTTTTTAATAAAATATTTCTAAAAACATTATATTTTCTTTAAGAAAAATAGAAAATTTAATTAAAAGAATGAAAAAAGTACAACTTAGCTGTTACCGTTAGAGCTGTTATTATTGTTTTTGTTATATCACTTTTATAAGGAGGAGTAGTGTTTGGGATTGCTTGTAAAAATAATTTATAAACTTATTCTAGTGTGATATCGGTGATAACCATTTTTGAGTGTTTGGATAAACAATTTATACCAGTATCAAACCGGTAATAAGGAATTTTTAAAGATTTTAAATCATGCTAAATTATAATAAGTTGATAAGGACTTTATAAAAAAGTATAAGTTGTTTCAAATAAGCAATCTCAAACGCCCCCTAACTTTTTATAACAAAATATTATCTTTAGAAACCTCCTGGGATGCTAAAACATTTTCGGAAACTTTTTAACATTAACGTTTATCATTTATCCTTGTTTTTTAACTTCTCCGAGTTAGAGTTTTGTCTTGCTTTATTTCTCATAAGTCGCGTACCAAATGATTATAGTTGGTACTTCAATTTTTATTTTGAATTTTTTTTCAGCTGATATGTTTTTATACCAATATCATAAAAGTTAAAAAGTTACAACCACAAGGATGGTGTCTAATTGGTTTGAACTTGGCTCCAAAGGTCAAAAGTACCAAGGTCACAAGTTCAAATCCAATGAGGAATAAAATCCCCTTGTGGCCACGGAATTTCAAATACGGTGACTCTGGGCTATCTGCAAAGCAGGTGGTCGTTCTAGGTTTAGTCGGCTCGCATAGGAAGTTGAATATCCAAGTTAATAAAAAAAAAGTTAAAAGTTACACATTTATTTTTATATCGATATATGTACCATGTATGTGCAATAAAACCATCAAGCATGTTAATATATAATGGGTTTAATCATTTGAGAACCCATGAAATTGTAATAACCTTAAGAACTTGTATATCATATGTTATTTCATATGATTTTTTCCTGTCTAAACATAGTATTTAATGTATTGATTAACATTTATTTGTTTCATAATATAATCAGTTCACAATGTGAAACTTTTTATGTGTATTTGTTTTTTCACAAATATGTTAATCAATATTTCAAATTCTAGTCTTAGATAAAATAATAATAATATAATGCATAAGTTCTCTAAGTTATCACAATTTTATAAATTCTCAAAAAAAATTAAATATATATTGTATCGTTTATTTCTACATATACCAACATTTAAATAACATGTACAAACATTTACCAACAAAAATTTCAAAGGATTCAGAATTAAAATAAACTACCTACTCAAAAAGTAACAAAAACTTGGTGTCCTTAAATAACATTTAACCACAAGAAATAAGTTAAAATAAAATAGACAATAATAATTTAGAATTTAGATAAATAAAGATAATTAGAAATTAAAATATACGGTTGATAACATTCTTGAATCATTAAAACTACTTCGGTTTAAAGACAAATAAGACAAAAGAGATTCGTGTATATATTTTACAAACGGTACTACTTATTAATTATAACCAATACCAATTAAATTCGTACGATTAGTATATAAATTAATTGGCTTATTTTGATACAAATTAACAATCCTAAGATAAATAATAAATCTTTATTTTCTATTTTAAATAATCTATTAAAAATACTTTAAGATTTAATATAAAAACATTATTTTATTATTTTATTAAGTAATTATGTACATATATCGGATATATAAGTTTTGTGGAGTACTAGAGAGTAGAGAGTATATAAAATTCAAAAGGTCGTACCAAATTCATAATCAATAAAATAATTTTGGCAATATATATTACGGGTTGGGTTCACGTGAGACCAGCCTGTTTTCGTGAGACCCGTGAGACCACAGTTTTACACGTAACCTTCACAGCAAAAACACTGTGAAGGTTTAAAAAAAGTCGAACCTTCACAGCAAAAACACTGTGAAGGTTTTAAAAAGTCACCTTCATAGCATTTTGCTGTGGAGTTTCAAGTGTAAAATGTTGGTCTCACGGGTCTCACGAAAACAGACTGGTCTCACATGATCCCAAGTCTATATATTACTAACCATGTTGATAAAACATTATTTGATTGATTTCAAAAAATAAGGTTTTTTTTTATCAACCTGGATGTTCAACCTGTTATGCGAGCTGATTAATCCCAGGACGACCACCCGTTTCGCAGGTAGCATGAAGTCACTGCATTTGAAACTTCTTGACCATAAGGGGATTTTTATTCCAAGTTCGAATCTAAAGATGAATAAAAATCTTCTTGTAGTTATGAAGGTTCAAATGTGGTGACTCTAAGCTACCTGTAAAGCGGATAGTTATTTTGTAATTAGTTAACTTGCATAACAGATTGGATATCCAGGTTAATTAAAAAAACATTATTTCCCGAAATCAATTAAATAAAAAGATTGTTTTACTCTCTTTCATTATATAAAATATGAAGTGACAAAGCTACTCCATTTTACATTTTATAAAAATTTAAAACTAGGAGTCAGTGTTTTTTTTTACAATGGAAAAGACAAAAGTACCACTCAAAGACAACCATGAATTTGTGATCAAATTATTTTATTTATTCTTTTAATAAATATAAAAGGACGAAATTGCCACAACCAAAGACATTTGGTTGTCCCGCATGCCGCATACTTATGGGACAACTCATGTGCCTAGAACAGCGTTTCACCTTTGAATATAAAGGGCTATTTTTGGAAATATGCGAAAAGGGTACACAAGTAACCTAATTATTTCATTAAAAAGAGAAGTGTTTTTACTGTTACAAATTCAGTACGTGTTCGGTTTAATTTAGGGTCTGTATTTAACGGTTTTCTTAATTTCTCAGACTTTGCAATATTTTATTCAGCTTTCTATAGTAACTGAGTTCATGAATTATAGCCAACAAACATGTTTTAAGTTTGATAAGTATAAATTGTGGGATATCTTGTTCTCGCCACTAAGTCATTTGTTAGTATGTAAATTAAACTTGTTTATATGATTATTTTTGCAGTCTGGATGTTGCAAGCCACCAACAGACTGCGGGTACATCTATGTGAACGAGACTGTTTGGACCCCGGTGAATGCAGCCACCCTAGCTAGCAATCTTGATTGTAACAGGTGGAGCAACGACCAAGAGCAACTATGCTACAACTGCGACTCGTGCAAAGCCGGGGTGCTGGCGAGCTTGAAGAAGAGCTGGAGGAAGGTGTCAGTCATCAACATTGTTGTCTTGATCATCCTGGTGATCGCCTACGTCATTGCATGTGCTGCCTTTAGGAACAACAAGAGGATCGATAACGATGAACCTTATGGTGCCACTAGGATGGAAAAGGCACGACCCACGCGGATACATTTCTAGTCGAGTCAATTGTTGTGTTAGATTTCAAATGATTTGTTCGTTTGATGGGAAAACGTTCTTTTGTTGTCGAAGGATGTTTTGTTTTGAATTCAATGGTTTTTGGAGGAGGTTGGATATGTGTACATATAGTAGACGTGTTATTATTTCTGAAGAAAATTTGTTAGAAAATCAAAAAGATTTATGAAATAATTCTAGATTAGCTTAGGTATGGATCATATAATAATACGACTTGATTAAAGATTTAATGAATGGATTGTATGATCAGATTCATTAGTGACGATACCTACTTATACAAAGGCATTGTTAATGGTGTCGAGGGTCAGGATATTTGAACGTATTATGTAAAACAATTAAATCCAAACTTTCGTTGCACTTATAAATACATTATATAACATTATTACATTTTCCTAACAAAAATTGAGCATCATGTTTTACAATTTTAAATGGTGCAATTAATGATAAGCAGATTGCATGAAAATGTAACGTATTTTAACTTGATTCATATTTTAGGTAACGTACTTTCAAAACTTTCATGTTGGTACCTATGGTGTAAATTTTAAACATTTAAGTACCCGAATAAATGGTTGAAACATTAATTGGTTATCATTGTGATGTGATGTGACGAGTGATGTGATATCCAACTCAGTATTATTTGCTGATGTGGTTAGTGACATGAATTTTTTTTATATAAAATTATTTTTTAATCTAAAATTAGTCTTCATCCGGCTATCTGGATACTTAAATGTTTAAAATTTCACATTTTAGGTACCAAAATATAAGCTTTGAAAGTACGTTACCCGAAGTATGAATCAAGTTAAAAAATCGATATTTTTTTATGCAGTTTGTCCTTGATAATAATGTGAAGATTGTTAATGAATATAAAGAAGGCTATAGGGTGTTATGTTTTTAAGATACGTATATATCATATAAATGTATCTTATCGTCGATATATATAAATTTACATATATTTATATTTTTCGTAATAAATTATTATAATTCAAACGGATTATGGTTGATCCAACTAATTTAGCCACACAAAAGAGCAGGGGACGGTGGCTGGTGTCGATAGATAGGTGGGGGGAAAATCCCAATCCATAATGAACTGCAAATTGTAATGACTATCAATTTAACAGATGAAGTTTAAGGACTTTAATCGCAATGACTAACATAACACATGGACCAATTATGTTGTTTACTCTTAATTATATGATGGAAATAAATTATATAAACCGTCATGTGGTTCTTATTTCCTATGATTATAGTCCCTACATATTAAAAACTACGAACCTTTCTTTCTATTTGTATTTTGCTTCGAATACGATTCATGCTATTGACATTTGTTAGTTAAACGTGGTTAAGTTAACCCATGTGTTGAACACTTGTGGTATTTTAGTCTTTTGACTTGTTCTTTTTTATTATTATCATCAAGTACTTGTTGATGCACAAATGGGAAGAGCATACGTACAAGTGCATGCACCATTTCAAAAAAAAAAAAAAAAAAACACCCTTCACGTTGCTTGATCCATCGACTCACCACCATCAAGAGTTCACTCATCGTAGATGCCTAAGCCCTTGGGGATGGGAAGAGTTTGATGGGGCCGGTTCCAAATCAAGATTTGTACGCTCAAAAGGGGGATAAAAAATAATGCAAATCACTGCTGAGATAACGTTCAATATGATGTGGATGTCATTGTGGTTATGAGATAAATCATACCAAAGAATCAGTCAAACTCAATCGAGAGACGAAAACATTTGCAATTGTCCATCAATGCCTAAACTATTTGTGGTGTGAACATTTTTGTTAGTTTCGAATCGGAAATAATCAGAACCCAAGCTCGACTATAAAAAAGGAGTTGCAAGTGGAGGAAGATTGGGTTTCACCGACAGTGTGTTGGGGAATGATAAAGGTCTTGTGATGGTGTGTTGAGAAACGAGGGTAGGTTTTTTAAAATACTTTATATACTTGTATTCATGATTTACACACTCCTACCATATTTATAAATAAAAAATAGGTTAAAGACTGAAATACTTTGACGTGCTTTGCGTGTGGGGCAACATGACGACCTTTATTTAACAGATGTTAGCGACATGGACCATATCTAAATAAAATGCAAACAAAAAGGAAGACTATGTAATTTTCAGTCCGGAAGTATATCCTCATAAAATATAAACCACATGGACCATATGTGTAATTTAGTATTTGATTTATATACTACTTTTATTGTTGCATATCTAGAGCATTTCCAATAGATTAGTCTGAAATACATAAAATGAGGTCTTTATTCTCTGCTTTTTTTATTAACCTGGATATCCAACCCGCTAAGCGAGCCGACTAATTTCAGGGCGACCACCTGCTTTGCAGATAGCTCGGAGTCACCGTATTTGAACCTCCGTGGCCACAAAAGGACTTTTATTCCTCCTTTGATTTGAACCTGGGATCTTCTGGTACCTTTGACCTTTGAAGCTTAGCTTAAACCAATCAGACACTACCCTTGTGGTTATTCTATGTTTTTCTCAAACAAATTTTTTATATTGTTATGTAAAATAAAGAAAACTTTAAATTTAGAGATTCAGGCAGATGAATGAAAATGACAGGACAGGACATGAGAATTTGAGATTCTGGAAAAATGAGATCATTATATTATATAAAATCAAATAATTTTTATTTTTATTCTCATTAATTGTTGTTTAATACATTTTGTAACACCCTCGAATTTCTCCCTCTCTCTCTCAGTCTCCATCCTAAATTATATTTGTAGGTAAGTTTATTCGGGTGTTGTAACACCTGTAAATTTTCTATGATTTATATTTGCACGTTAGGAATTTAGACTCTCCCTTTATTTAATTATTGTACTTTTAACTTATAAAATAAGGGGTTTCATTAGGACAACCTGTGGATTTGAAAACTTATGTAAAGTGGTTTATTTCTTGAAAAAGGGGGAGAGTCTAGATTGGGGTAAAAGAGAGCCGGTAGAAAGAAGGAAGAAAAGGGGGGAAATCAAAGGGGGAAATCAAAGGAGGAGAAGGGAAGCAGTCGACCCAAACCAGCACCTGCTGTGCTTTCTCCTTCTTTGCCGCACACGAAACAGCAGCACCAGAGACAGCAGCCTTGCTGCGTTTTTCTCGTCCAACAGCAAGCAGCAAAGTTGCTGCGTTTTGTCTCGTACGCCCCAAACAGCAGGCAGCAAGACAGCAGCCTGATGTGCCTTCCTTGCCGATCCCTTCCTCAAACAACAGGCCTCCTGCGTTTACATCGCTTCCTCGCCAAACCCGGACAGCAAACAGCCGGCAACGGCTCTGCTGTGCTGTGCATTTTCTTTCTAAGGCCTTCTCGATTCAAACAGCAGCTGCAACTGCGTCGGTTTTCTGTATTTCTCGCCTAACTGCAGCTTGCTGTGCTGCCTCCTAGCCTCGCCAAACAGCAGCTTTGCTGCACGTTTTTCGCCTGTAACAGTACCGAACAGCTGCCCCTTCCCGCCGCCGGCAGCTGCTGCTGCTGCTGCTCCTCCCTCGTCGCCGGCAGCCTGCTGCTGCTTGCTGTATTCTTCATCTCCTTCATCAACAACCCTTGTGAGTTCATTTCTTTATCCGGTCACTTGGTTTTTGGATTTAGATGATGAGGTTATTTTGATATATAAGGTTATAATGCAAATATTAGATGATGAGGTTATTTTGGCCTATAAGGTTATAATGCAAATATTAGATGATGAGGTTATTTTGGTATATAAGGTTATAATGCAAATATTATCATGATGAGGTTATTTTGGTATATAAGGTTATAATGCAAATATTATCATGAAGAGGTTATTTTGGTATATATTGATATAATGCAAATATTAGTTGATGAGGATTTATTTGTTATCTAAGAAATGTCATTTATGACGAGAAAGTTACGTGAAACGCCTACTAATGGGTCGTATTAAGACGTGCATAATCTCGAAGAAAAGAYGGTGTATGGGTTGTCGTATACGTGCCTTATTATGTCTATAAATTGTAGGCGGTCTATGTATAGAACTCTATTACTTTAAGATTTTATGTCCGGTAATTTGCTAATGATAGTAGTAACGTACTTGTTATATTGGTAGACTCATGTTAAATCTCGGAGTTGGAATGTTATTATAAGTACTCGTATGCTAAATATTAAATAATGCAAATAATTATTTTTGAAATGGGTTGAAGCTTGGGGTCGAATATTGTTTTATTTTATTATGTGTGAAGGATGGTGTGAACTGGGGGTAGGCATTGTGATTATTATGTAACCTCCATATCATCCTTTCACTACCACTCGGAAATAGGCATTGTGATTATTGTGTAATTTCCGAGATAAAGAGCTTACGTTCACGAATGGCTAAATGACTGGATTTTGGTTAATGCCATAAGTGACGCTCTATAACGTTGATTTATGATTTACTTTGTGTCTGTCATAATCAACGGTAAATCGGGCCTCCCCCGTCATCTTCGGATGTTTTAYTGTTCCACTTCGAGTTATTCAGGTCTTGCTGTTTCTTTTCCCGTTTAAAGTTACGCCARCTATTTTCATGTGTATATTATTATATGTTCCTTTATGTTTATCTAAACTCTTTCGTTTGGACTCACTAGGCGTAAGCCTAACCCTCTCCCTTTCTTGTTATATTTACTTTTAGGTT